AATTGGCTATCTATAGTACGTACGTACATACAGTACGTACGAATTCCAGATACGTATTTATGGCGTGAACGATACTCATGCTGTTTTTGGTATGTTGCTAACTAATTTAATATTATCTGTGGCCGCAGAAAATGATCAACATAATATAAACTAGGTAAATGGAAACCATTTAAGGTCCGAAGGACTTAAAATTTCTTTTTGTAATTGATCACGAATCAGTCCGACAATGGGTATTTTCGGAGCAAATGTTTGTTTTTAACAGATCAACCAATCAAAACCCTTGATTTGCGGACACACACAAACAGGTCACTATGCCTCTACCGTAATGTCCTTCGGACAATAAGTCGACAATATCTCAATCTCCATAATAACGATGTGGATACTTCTTGAAGGGAAAGCGAGTGCCATAGAAATTGACATTGAACAGAAAAATTCTATTACTCGTAGTTCCAACTTAGACAGCCTTATTCCTAATCTTCGTGAAATATTTGAAGATCTTAAGAATGTTATGCCGAATTTTTTACCTTTAATGACCGCGTAAATCCACTTGGACCAGGAACCAGTCTTAATCCCCTATCTGGGAATACATCTGCCACTGCACCACTTGTAGTCCGGTATCCGCTCTCGACTTCAACCGGTAAGCTGAACATTTTTTTTATTTTTTTTTTCTCTTACGCCATAATAACTTACCTTTTCATCACAATTTTCAGTCATTGTTCGTTGCAATTTTTCAACAGCGTGCTTTAAGTCTAGTTTCCCACATACTACTGGGCTCTGGTATCTTGTCCGTAATGTTGCAGAATCAAAGTTCCAAACATTACGATTAGATAAAGTTCAATATAGTTTCATGCATGATGAGATTAATAGCGAGCTACAAATAGAAAACGAATTCTAATTTAACGAAATGATATTAAAAATCAAGCCCAACTGTGAGGATGAACGTGAAGTCAGCATTTCAATCCAAGTAACGGGTAAGGCCAATATTTTGGATATTGTTAGGGTTCAGTTTAAATACATATTTGCTCGCTTCATTTATAGGAAGGAAGGCATACGGAGATTGGGAAATTGGCGAGGTCTTAAATGAGTTTCTGCATCAAAAGGGTTCAACTATGTTCGATATTCGATCTTTTAATATTGATGATCTTCCGAGACCTAACCCTCCAATCCCTAAAGAGGCTATTATTCAACTTATTGCTGAACTTAAAAAAATGAAGAATGCATTTGGTATTGTCAATCGTAATAAATCAACTGGTCGGGAATTTATCTCGCCTTTTATGTCCACAGCAGTTGCCCATGTCCAAAAAGAAGAAGAAGGGTTATTACTCAAGGCTGAAGAGTGGATCGATGGGACAAAAGCTTATGGGCCTATTAATTACTCGATTTTTATTGAAGAAGTGCTTGTTTTAGTCCAAGAAGTGGAGAAAGATAAATTTGAAAAAGGAACAGCACAAAATATTGCACAGATTCATAGTGCCGTAGAGGTATTTATTGTGTTAACGTTACAGCTGATGCTGAAAATTGGACCTATTTTGATATTGAATTTTAAAAATTTTTGGGGGTGTTTTTTACCACATTTTTTAGGGTTAGATTAGGATTTAGGGTTAGAATTTATATTTAAAGTGTATATGTGGATTTTAGCAGGGCTTATATTTTAAATCGAGACCCCAATTTTCAGCATCAGCATCAGCCGCGACAACTATTTTTTTTACGTTTACTCAATTAACATACGATATTAGTCACGAAAACGAAGAATTAAGATAGACTCGGGAGATGAAGAAGTTCCTGTTGTAATGTATGGAATCGTTACAAATGCATTACAATGGTATTTTCTTCGTTGGGCAGGTTCTTCAGATGATCCAACAGTTGAATTGTCCGGACCACATACTTGTGAATTCGATAGTAACAATATGGAGCAAGTAAAAATAATTCTCAGCTACATTGTCTCCATTCTTCAGTTCAAGTCCGAGGACATAACGATGCGTAGATCTTAAGTTTTTTTATGTGTTCCAAATTAGCTTGTTTTTATATGTATAATAGCATGACTGTTTACAAAGTGTTATTTTGAAAACCAGAAGCAAATATTTTACCGGGTGTTCAAAAAGTTCCTAGTCCTTTTTTTTTGAGTGACCTAATATATAAATCATCAGGGTCTCAATATATGTTATCATACTTAAAAAATAGGTGTCGTATATAGAACACCCGGTATATGATATGGAGTTTATGATATATTTTTTTCATTGGTCTCGGTTTACCATCAATTGGCACCTCATCATTGGTAAATTTGTAATGACAATTTCCCAATTAATAAGAGGGCAAGATTAAGAATAGGGAATTGCTATTGCCACCCCCGTTTTTGCTAATGTCACCCCACATAATTTCGACCCTTCTGACTCTAAGAAAAGTCTACAGACACGTACCAGTCATGTGAAATTGCACGTACCCTAAATGAAGATCGTGTACATTGTACATTTAGATAGGTTAGGTTCATGTGACTGGTACGTGTCCGTTAAAAATCCTTTGTATAGTATATAAATTTATTTTATTTATACAGCCAATTCTTCGTAAATGCGCCCTTTTTCTTCATAAGTGCCATTTGATTAGGGCAAGGGTCTCAGTAGCTTACTGGTCTATGGTCTTACTAACCTTTTGTCGCTGAGTAGTTAATTCGTTGCACCATTGACTAATTAGAGATTGGGTACAAAAGTTAAATACATGGATAAAACTTTGATCTTGTTGACGACATTGGATCCGTATTATTTCCCCGAAAATCACTTCACCGACAACTTGTTTCACTGACAGTTAATTTACATACAAGCTTATTTTACCGGAAATTAATTCACAGACAAGTTCATTTCACCGACAGTTTATTTCACCGACAGCTCATTTCACCGACAAGTTTTTTTTATAAATTGTACTAACCTTAACTCTAATTCTGAATCTGACCTTAACGACAATGACCAGAGTTACTTTGTCGGTGAAAAGAGCTGTCGGTGAAAATAAACTGTCGGTGAAATGAACTTGTCTGTAAAATAAGCTTGTCTGTAAATTCATTGCCTGTGAACTAAGTTGTTGGTGAAGTGATTTTCGGTGAAATTAACGGAACCGGTATGCACAAACGACGGCTAATTACACTTTGTATATTATTAGCCTCGAAGACACGCTCGATGATCTCAAGCCACTCAATGGGATCTTGATTCCCACTCGAGAAAGTTAGTATTGGAACAATATTCAATTCTTGTTGGTGCTGCTGTATCTGAGGTTGAGGAGCGACAGTTATTGCTTGGATTAATTACTGAATTCTCTGGCTACATATTAGTCCATATCTAAATTATTATTGTTATTAATGTAAGAGGCTCTATGATTATGATGTATTTAGTTTTAATGAATAATTTTCGTCGGAATCTTTTAATTTTACCCACCGTCGTCACCAAATTGTAACTACTGATAGGACAAAATAATAGACTTATGTCACAAATCTAACAGTAGTTATCAAAAGTAAGATAAGAATATGCGTGGATTTAGGGAATGTTATTTTTTATATGAGAAATATATTAACTTTATTTTATTTTTTAGTATCGGATTATTGACAAAGGAAGGCATTTCGGTATATTATTCCTATCCATTATAATCATTGTTTAACTTATTCGAACTTGTTCTTCCAAAAGCACCAGGGAAGCATCTCCTTTATATATTTTTTATTACATTGTTGGTTACTGACTTCTTCCCAGTAGTCACGAACTTTTATCCGTTGGTTAGTAACCACCCCTGACAGTTCGAAACCACCTTTGACAGTTCGTAAACAATGGGCCCATCCAATTTTGGAACCCACAACCGATGTGGCTTACAAATCTCATAGCAATAGGAAGACATTCATATGATTGGTTAATTTTATAGATAGATTTATTGAAAAACGACTAGCAAATGTAAAAAGATATACTTCAAAAAAGATAACAAATCTATTAAAGATATTCCTAAATGTTTTTGAATGTAAACATTCCAAATCAGAATCAAATGTTGATGAGTTAACAAAAAGTAATCTATTTTCTGAAACTAATCAATTATATTATATGATAGGTGAAACTTTAATAAAAGTAGTAATGTATTTTGAAGAAGATCTTATTTTTAAATTACTTGATCATAAAGATCTAGAGATATACAAAAAAGAAATTGAGGACATCGATAATATTTGTGAAGACAATAATAATAACATCTTGATACTAATAATATTAATAATAATAATGATATTGACAATATTTATAAAGATAATAATAATGATATCTATGGTACTAATAATGTTGATAATGATGAATATACCGACGAAGACAATCTTTATTGTAATAATAACCTTGCTGCTAGAAAAATAAATTTCCAAATAGATTCTAAGAATGTTATCTTCTATGATAATAAAAAATTGCTTATTTCCAATGCTCCAATTGGTGTTATTAAGAAAGATGGAACTGATAAATTCTATATCACTATTGAAAAGCGACCAGCAAATACAAAGATATACTTTAAAAAAAATAATAGATCTATTAGATTTATTCCTGAATTTTTTGAATGTAGACACTCTAAATCAGAATCAAATGTTGATGAATTAATAAAAATTTATCCATCTGTTGAAACTAATCAATCATATTATAAAATAGATACGACTTTAAGAAAAGTAGTAATGTATTTTAAAAAAGATCCTATTTTTAAATTATTAGATCAAAAATTTCTAAAGACAGAAGAAATTGATAAAATGTTAATAATAGCATATATAGTACGAATAATATTAATACTGATAACTAGAAATGCACATGTGGGCGGCTTCGCCGCCCGATTTAGTGGCTTTATTGGTTGTACAATGGAATAGATTATAAAAAAAAGTATTTGTTGTATAAAGTTCATTGAGTTTCGATAACAAATTTTTTGGAGATATATGGTTTTGAAATTTTATTTAATTTTTTTTTATTAATTGTTTTTTTTATTTTATTATATAAAATTAATGTGAAGGATTTAGGTTTAATTATATATATGTAATTGAGAAGTCAAGTTTAATTTTCTATTTTTTTTTAAAAAAAATTTATGAGTTTGGGTTGTTTAATGGTAATGGTTCATGGGCTTTTATTTCTAAACGCTCATATTCTTTTATCATGGATTGGTCTGTTATAAATGCTGTATGATTTAATGATTGTATTTTTACTTGGTCCCATTTGGTGCAACGACTTAGTGCCACATAAGCTTGTCCAGGTGCGAATATTTGTTCATCTAAGTTTAATGATACATCAGGAAGTGTGAGCCCCTGTGTTTTATGGATGGTTAAGGCGAATGCATTTTGTATGAGGAATTGGGTATGGCTAGCAGATATGCCATTTATAGTGAAATTGCAGGTAAATTTAGAAAATGAAACATTTATTATAGCTCCTTCTACACAAAAGCTAACATATATGAGGTTTGAGTCCAGGTCGAGATCTGTAATGATATCTATGGTGCTATTTGCTATTCGATGTTGGTATTGGGAGTTATTGAGAAACATAACTCTTGCACCTGGTTGAATCCTAACTGATTTTGGTAAATTTGTTTTGTTTTTGAAATCGTTAAATCTTGAGTTATCATTGCATATTTGATTGTTAACAATGTCAATACAATTTGAGATCATAAATTTGTTTTTTTGTGTAGGAATCATAGTGCATATTAGTCTATTAATTAGATCTGCATTTTCTCTATATCCTACTATATGTGTGGTGTTTAGAGTGGTGTTTAATTCAGATGATTTGAGAGTATTATTTTTTTTTTGAAATAATAAGTGCCATGTTTCATTATCAATTTTACCTATGCGAATTTTTTGTAAAAGATTGAAAAATTTTATATCTTGATTTTGTCTCTGAGGTTCACGAAGAAATAAAGGATAAAAAAGTTTCTATATTGGAGATTAGTAAATAAGAGAACCTGAAACTGGAGGTAATTGTGCTAAGTCACCAACTAAGATGTCATTTATACCTCCAAACAGAATGTTGTTTTTGTGTAGAGATTCAAATAGTTCAGAGATGTATGTTAAAAGTTGGCCTGATATCATAGAGGCTTCATAGATAATGAGAGTATCAATTTGAAGAAGAAAGTTATTTAATTCATTGTCATAAAATGCAAGGGTGTGAAATCCTCATTCATTTAAGATAATTCATAAAGCAGAATGGATAGTTGAACCACCAATATTTTGTGCAGCAATTCCAGTTGGAGCCATTAACAAGTATTTTTTGCCTATTTTTTTAAAATATTCTACTAATAAATATATCATATAAGATTTAACAGTATCTGCTGAACCTGTGATAAAAAAAAAAGGATAATGAGATCTATTTTGTGGTCCTAAATAATTAATTATAGTTTGACAACAATAGTATTAAGTTGGTGATAGGTTAATTGTTGGGTTAATTAATGTAATTTGTGGTAATATTTTTATAGAATCTAATTGTATTTTAATTATATCTATAATATTTTTTGTTAAAATTGGTTCTAACGAAGATGTTATTGTTTCAATGAGTGAAGTTAATTGATCCAATGCATGCGTTGTTTGTTTTAATATGAATTTGTGATTTTGTGTAAGTATTGATTGAGGAATAGTTGGGAATCGAGCTAAAAGTGATCTCTGTAAGTTTGATAATTATTTAGCATTTTATTTTCAGATTGGCATGGAAATCTTAGTAAAAGTTGTTGATAAAAATATAATTCTCTATGTTCTATTCTTAGGGTTCGCATACGTGTCAGAATACGATTTGTATATTTAACAAAAAGTTTTCAAGATCATCTTGATATACTGTTTGATGAGAATAGGTTGGTTGAGCTGATTTGATATTATATGTTTCAAAGTAAGTTTTATATGTTATGTTATTAAATATAGAATCATGTGGTTTAGCAAAATATTTTTCAATTTTATCACTCCAATAGGGATTATCATCAAGTGAATTGATCATATTTAGTGGGATAACTGCTTTGAAACAAATATTTGGAGGATCTGTAATTAAATATTGCACTTGTATTGATGAATTTATAATACATTCTCTGAGTAACAAAAATATGAGTTCTATTGAACCTATTCGTCGTGCATGAATAAATTCTCGATAGTGTGATTGTTCTTGTATATTGAAAAGATGGGTTAGTTTTGATTTATTAATATATTTTGTTATATAGCGTACAAGTCCTTTGTTTGTAATATATTGAATGTTCATATGAGCATTCCATATTATAAGTGTTGGTGCATGATATGGAATTATCCATTGGTCTTCTGGTGTTAAACATCTATAAATATATCTGTAATTATTTGGATCATAAAATGTAGATTCAGATAGTGGGTGTAGAAATCCTTTTTTACATGTTAATCCTGGTGGTGCTGGTCTTCCACATGTAAAGTTACAAGTATGTGTTTGAAAAGTAAGAACTTTTTGATAGAGTTCAGATTCTAAATTAGGATTTGGAAAGGTAGATCGAATAGTATTTTGGTTAATCATTTCTAATATACTCATTGTTATCCAGTAGACTCCATGAAGATGTGCTGCTCCATAATTTTGAAATTCTATTCTGTCAAAAAAATGAAAGTAAGTTCCCCATTTACTAATTTCTTGATTTTTCCAAATAGACTTTTTAATATTTTGAAGTCTGTGAATAAAATGTAGAGTTGTATGCAATTGTCTATTTGTTGGTAATGGATCATGGTTGTCTGTATTAATAAGTATATTATGAAGATGGGTCCATGAGCCTTCAGCCATTGATAATATTATAAACAATGTTGGAAGACCAAGTTCATAAATCATTGTGTTTAAATGCTTATTTTTTTCTTGAAAATAACTATCACCTATACGAATGAATGTAGGAATTGTAGTTGTTTTTTCTTCATCATATCGCCAGCCATTTGTGTAAGTGCTGCGTTCGATGATTTCTATAATTGTAGATTGATGATAAGTTTTATCAACAACTAATTGTCTAATTAATCGTTGAGTATTTTGAAAATTTCTGAATTTTTCTAATTGTAAATATACCCATGCAGGCCAATAATGATGTAAACAAAATTGAAAATCTCTAGAAAGTAGACGATGCTTTATATATTTTCCAAAAGTATCATAACGTTGATGTATATTTTCAAGTTGATTTCACATTTCGTAATAATGTTCATAGCCATCAGGATATAGATCTGAAAAGAGTAATGCTTCAAGATGTGGATTATTTAATGCAATAGGAATTTTATTTATATCATTATTTATTATAAATCCTGCTATTAGATGATGGTAATTTGCATCTTCATTGCGAACTTCAGTTGGAAAATTTTGGTGTGGAACTATTATATCACCTTTTTGAAATGGAGGTGTATTTTCATCAATTATCAAATGAGTAGCTATAGGAAGTCGAGGAATTGTATTTGAAAATAGTACAAGTATTTGTGAATATCATGTATATAGGGATTATGGTCTTTAAGCCAATTAATAGCATTAGTCAATGAATTATCAAACCAAGGTGAAATTTCAGATAAAATTGAAGATGAAGATTCCAGGTATGCATCTAATAAACCTGAATATATGCTCAATGAATGAAAATTTTAAGAATAATTCATAGTGCCTACTAATGTTCTATATTCAGTAAAAGAATTTGTACTAGGTGTTCTACCAAGAGAACAATGTAAAAAAATAAGTGACAAGTATTTACGTTCCCTAATGGTACAGATTCGATTTCTGTTGGTGTTGGTATAAGATATGGTGGATAATTTCAATTTTGATTTAATTTACATAATTAGCAGATTGCAATATGATTTGTTGGTGGAACAGGATTTGTAACTAATGGTTTATAGTTTGTAAGAGGATATGAAATGTTAGGGTCTTGTTGAATCCACATTGCTTTTTCTGGATACATAAGTCTTGAGCAAATAGAATAAGGAACATATGAAAATTGTAATAAAATAGTATTTTCGAATTCAGTCATTATTTTTTTCATTTTTGTCTATACAATCCATGGTAATATCTCTGTTTGAGATAAATTGTTAATTAAAGTATCTTGATTAATGATTTGTGGAGCATTGTTAGAAGAGTTTAAATTAATTATTTGTTCATTATATTCTAGGTCTTCAATTTCAAAAATTTTATATAAGTTAAATGACATATTTTTTTGTTTTTTGAGAGAAGTGAATAATTAATCAATTGTATTATTTATTATTATTATAAAATTGATAAATAACTATAATAAATTGATGTTTGCTTGGCTTGGAACTTTTAAGCTATTTTATATTGTTTGAAGTCAATTTTATGTTACTAGAAAGAATTTCATTAGTAAAAGTATTATTAATTGACTAATATTTTATATGATATTTTTAATATGATATTTTTAATGGCTGATAAGATAGTAATATATTTATTAATATGGTAATTTTTTACATATGTTATTTAAGTAAATATTGTATGTGTAATTCTTGTATGATTTTAATCATCTGATTATTATTAATTAAATTATACATAATACAAGGATGTGTAGATTTTTTGTGATGTAATTTAGCGAATTATGTTTTTGATATCAATAAATTATTTGATTTACTGTTGTGATATAATTTAGTAAATTATGTTTTCGATATCAATAAATTATTTGATTTACTGCTGATTAATAATTAAACCACAAATTCAATTACAGTTACTCATTTGTATATAAATTTTAAAAATTTTTATAATAAAAAAACTTGCAATTTATTAAAAAGTGTGTTGTGCTAAATTTCATTTGGACTGTTTACACTTTATACTTGTTATAAAAGTGCTTGTTGTTGTGTTCAAACTGCTATTATAACTTTATTTTTTTAATAATATTACATATTCTAAAAAAAATACATATTTTCATATATTATTATATAGTCAACTCTATATCAACCTCAATATAATGACTTCTGGATATAATAAAAACAGAATTTTAAATTTAATAACAG